ATGGCACCAACTAGGATTCATGTTAATTGTGCATTAATTTATGAGAAAACATCAACAGAAAGCTATAATTATAGTTGGACATCCATTTTTGTTTGGGCATATATATATATATATATATATTTCTCAAAATCATATTCATTTATATACAGAGTTCAAAGTATTTGTGAGAAGATAGTCTAGATGTTTGGAGCTCAGACAACATTTGCGCCGAATATTTTAGGGCTTCTATGAGATTGTTGGAGTCCTGGTGACTGCATCAATCGGAGAATTAGGGTTTTTAATATGAAAGAATTGATTGAAGAAATATTGATTGATATATATGAATTACCAGTGCGCAATGCATATAGAAAGCATTGTGTTGAATGCCTACAATGCCTTTTGTGACGACCCCACCACATACAATGATTAGCACTTAATTGATTGAGGAGATTTGAATTTTAATTGCCAATTATTCTAATTTAATATGGGATTTATGAAAATTATGAAAACCGATTTGTATATGACTCTATTGAGGATTTATTTTGGAATTAGAAATTGAAAGCTTAAATGGCTCAAGAGAGTACAAATGGTGAATTGAATTATTTTAATTTCGAGTATCAGACCACGTGAAAGTTTAATTAAATATTCAATTCAGATTTATAAATTTGAGATTTGGATAATTGGGTCCGAACTGGAGTTAATTAAGTTATGAGGATAGAGAGTTAAAGATTATTATGAATTAAATTTCTTTATGAGGTATTCAATTGAATATGTAATTTATTGATGAAAATCTTGAGTTAATCTAAAATTGAAGGCCTTAACAATGTGAGAAGCCAAAATTGATGATGAAAATAAATTTAATTTGATATTTGGAGCCTTTTGAAAGTTTGATTAAAAATCTGATTCAGATTGATAGATTTGAATATAATTAATTGGGCTTTAATGGAAATTAATTAGACTAATTAAATTAGGTGGGATTTATGATTAGTTATGATTAATTTAGTTACGTGTTAATCAAGATTTATTAAGAATAAGTGTTATTTAATTAAATTAATCTTAACCGTAAATTAAATTGTAGAATGATTTAGAGTTTGAGGATATATGTGGGTGTGTGCGCTGAGAAATCTGGGTGTGCAGAGAAATTTGGGTTGTGTGTGTGTGCAGGTGAGTGTTGTGCTGCACGTGTGCATTGTAAAGAGAGGAGTGTGTGTATATGAGGAGAGATAGAGTAGGCAACTCTATTTTATTACTTGCTGGACGCATTATTGTGATAGAAGGAGATTGAGAACAAAAAAAGAAGCGTAGCTTCGTATTTGTTTTGGGCAAACCCGTGAGAGAGAGAGAGAGAGAGAGAGAGAAACTTAGAACTCATGTGCTGGAAATGGAGAAGAAAGGCTAAGGAAAAGCTTGGAAAAAGTGAAGAATTGAAGAGACACTCAAGAAATTGTGTAGAAACTCATCAAATTGAAAGTTTTGGGTAAGAAATTAAAGCTCGAATCTTTTGGATAAATCATCTAGAAGCTGAAATTAAGAGGTAATTAGATTCAATTGCATGCAATGAAAAATAAATTAGCAAGAAAATGAGTTAGGTTCATGATTATGGAAATTAACTTTGAAATTAATTATTTTGGGTTTGGTTTTGCATATCTTATATGAATTTGAGTCTTATTTTTACATGCATGTAATTTGGAGAAATTAAAGAATTAATTCATGAACATGGTTAAGGTTAATCAATATGGAAATAATTGTAATTCTTCAATTGAGCTTGGGTTTGGAAACCTTGATATATATGAGATGTAAATTTACATGCACAATGAAGTTTTTAAGAATTAAGCCATGCAAGTTTATTATGCATTTGATTTTGAAGAAAATTTTTTGAAAACATTGAGTTCATGGAAAGGGTTTAATCATAGAGTCAAATGAGATTTTGATTTTGTTTTGAAACCTAAAAATTGGTTTGATTTTAATCTCTAATCCATGCATGTAATGTAATTTAAGAGTTTTAATTAATTTAAACATGTTTTGGTATATATTACATTAGTTAGTTTTATTTGAATTACATATATGCAATGTTTGCTAGGAAAATTGACAAGAAAATGAAGAATTGGAGCTAAGATTAAGTTTATGAAGTTTAATTTGAAATTAATTATTTTGGATTTGATTTTGGAAGTTGTAATTAAATTAAGCTCCATAAATTATATGCAATTTTATTGTGCATTTGATTTTGAAAATGAGCTTTAGAATCATGAGTTCATGGGTTTTGATTTAAATATTGTGCTTCAAGATTTTGAGAAAATAATTTATAAATAAATAAGTGTTTATGTTTTCTGAAGTATTTTCAAAGTTTTGATCAAGATTAGTATGGGTTTAAAGATTGAAAATGCACTAGGAAGCTATTTTTGAGAAATTTAGAATTCTGGAATTTTACAGGTCGCTCGAGCAGGCTAACTGCCGCTTGAGCGCACATTGAAGGCTGCCAGCACTTTTGCAATCTTTACAGATCGCTCGAGTAAACAGCTATTTTCAGCACATTTTGGAAAATTGCATTTAGTTCATATTTTTATTCTCATCTCTTTCCAAAGCATTCTAGACGTCATTTATGGCTCAATAAAGATTAATAAGATAACAATCAACATTAATTAGTTGATTAAAGAATAAATCATTAACTTAGTAGATTGATTAAGAAGCCAAGTAAGAAATTGGTTTATTCAGAAAAGAATGATTTAGTAATGAAAGAATATATGAAATGAGAACCCGATTCATTTGCATAAGAAAGAATAAGCATAGTAGAACTTCGGACTACTTAGATAGAAAAAGACAAGAAAAGTCAAGTTTGATCAAGGAATTGATATTGCGTCTCAGTGTGTATATGTTATGTGTTTGTGTAGTCACACGCTATTGTCTGCCTGATCTGTCTGATCTGCTTCTGCAGCTATCTGTGAGTAATAATTTAGTAAAGCTATGTTCGATATGAAATACTTTCTGAACATTATGAGATGATATGAACTATTTTTGAATGATACAAAAGGCTATTTTGTGATTACATGAATGATGATCTAATTCTTTGAAATGTCTTTGTGGTATCCTTAGTGGAGGCCCTCACCCAGGGGAAATAATATTGTGGCTTATGGTCATGAGGCCCTTGCCTGGTGGAGATAACACCGTGGTCCAGGCCCTCGCCCGGGGAAAATAATACTGTGGCACAGGCCCTCGCCCGAGAGAAACAATACCGTGGCCCAAGTATGAAATATGTTACCTGGTACCGGAGGTTCCATTAAGGAACTTGATATGCTTGACCAACATGATATGTTACGCTAAAGGAAGTACCACACATGATTTGAATATGAATTGGAATATGAATCTGTTTTTGATATGAATACGAACATGACTATGTTTCTGATTTGGTAAGAGATTTGAAATCTAATTTTTGAATTTGATATAGACATCATTCATTAAAATCTTTACTATGTTATTATTCGATAGGCTCCAGCTCACTGTATTATTTATGTATATAGGTGACCAGGCCTAGAGCTTCTGCTTGGACTCTGTTTTGTCAGCCAACCTATGTGCCTCCTGTGGAGGTTTCAGATATGTCTAGTAGTTATGGCTAAGTGTATAAAGTTCAAATTTTGTTTTCTTGTTTGGTTAAACAAGTCTTTGCTTATTTTGTAAATAGGGTTAAGTCCTTTTTTGTCTAATCTGTATATATATGATGACGTAAGGGTGATGCGTAAATATGTATATAAACAGTTTAAAATTTTTCCGTCTCATATAAGTCTGCACAACTCAATGGATGTTGTATATTTGTTATTTGCTTCCGCTAGCCCCTAATATTATGTTAATCTGTCTCAGAGGCCTTTGGTAATCCCAGGGTTACTGGCCGATTACGATGCTAAACTTATAGGGGCTGGTTTGGGTCGTGACACCTTCGGAGAGCCATCACTATAATAAAACTGGGTTTTTACAGCTTCATATCAACGACATACAGTAATTTCCTAATCACGATGTCTCTATTGCATAGGTTGTGAATGCTAATAACGATGATTTTTTTACGACTTGCAATTTTTGCTGTAAATAATAAAACTTTCTATGCGTGCATATAGCATGCCGTTAATACATCAATTATACACGACACACATATATTGGTTGTTAAAAATATTGAACATTTCACGGCGCACAAAAAGCTAGCCGTTAAAAATTTCACTTTCCACGACGTACAAAAAGCCAGCCATTTAAAATATTGCACTTTCTACGACATGCAATTGTTGTCATGAAAGGTATGACCAAAAAAAAAATGTAACGCCAAAATGAAAATTTCAAGCTCCAAACACCAAAAAATTAAAACAAAAAAAAAAATGAAAAAAAAAGAAGAAGAAGAAACAATCAAAAGCCCAAACTTTTTAGCCTTAACATCAATCTAAAAAGAAAAAGCTAGGAATTTAAACACATCTATAACCTATATTTAAAAGAATGAAGCTATCAGGTGTTTTGAATCTAATTCATCAAATTCTCTTATTTGCCCCGTTGTTTTGCTCAGGGTGTTACTTGTGATGAGTCCAGACTGTTCATTCATCAATAGCCATGACATCTACAACCGATTAACCAACCAATCGAAGGCCACCATCTCTCCCTTCTTGAAGGTTCCTGTTTCAGTGATGACTTTGAAAACCCACATCTTCCACTGATCCTACCATTTAACTCCTGAAGAGCTCCTTCTTGGAGGTCCCTGTTGCTTGTGGTCTTCCTGAAACGGTGATGGCGGTGAATGTGTTTTGTGCAAGATTCAAGTGTTATGCAATAATCTCTTAGTATATTTATGGCCACACATACTGGATTGATGTATGTTCTATCAACTGGAACAACCTGGAGAAATTGAGGCGTGTCTTCTTCCACTTGTCTATTATGTGATTATTCCTAATTTGTCTATTTCAAGCTCTATTCTTGTTCCTCACCATTGTTTAATTGTGTGCCCACCATGTGCGTCATCTCTTTTTTGTTCTCATACCCTTTTCATTGTTGGTTTCTGCATACATTCTTTAGTAAAGAAATCTACTTTTCTTCTAAATCAATCCAAAGGAACAAAACTGAGGTTTCTACAATTCTATCATTCTCATTTGATAAGATGGGTTATTATTAAATCATATCTATAGAAATCAAAGAGAATTTAGTGGAAGCTTGTAATGGCACCAAGTTTTGATTATACAGTGTCAAGCCTTCTATGTGCAGAAGGCAACGACAATATTTCTGATGATGAGGTTGATTGTGCGGCTGTAAAGGAGCATTTTGAGCCTACTTGGCATCACCGAAGGAATCATCAGGTATGGTTGATTAATTATATAAGAGTTTTGTTTCATAGAAATTCTATTGAAATTTAAAGTTGATAAGTTGGCAAAACATAATTTTTTGTACTGTAAACACAAGAAATGAATTTGAATCCACCAAGGTTGAGAGAAGAACCAATTAGTATTTGAGTTAAAGGAATTAGTTCATGTTAAGTGACTGTAACTATACACATCAAAAGCTTTCTTATTGAAATTATCCACCCTATGTTTGGTTGCTAAGAAAAGGCAAGGATAGAAGAAGAACCTGGGTGTTGTGAATCTTACATTTTACAGCATTTTGGCTTCTAAAAAATAAAGAAACTATAGAACCCAAGTCATACAGTAGAATTAAGCTCTTATTAGTGGATTTTTTTGTGGACAAAACTACAAATTTTATCAATTTATTTGTCTTTCTTACCTTTTTTTCAGCAAACAACTAGACAAAATTAGAGCCAAAACAAATAAAAAAAGACCCAAATAGCTCTGATCATATCAAACTAAGGCATTAAAACAAAGAAAAAAAGAAATGAGAAAAGATAAAAACTCTATCGCGATCGAATCAGAAAAAAAAAAAATTTAAAATCATCGCAAAAACACCAAACAACTCCTACTCACAATCAAAATAGAAAATTTTGAAGAATGAACCTCAAGAGTTTAATACATTCAGAAAATTTAGGCGAGGCATTAAATCAAACAGCGATTGTGTACATCAAATCTTACACTTTAATCTTTTCCGGTTAAAGATTATGTTTTGTTTGTTATGATTTGTCGTAGGCAAAATGTCAATTGTGCGAACCGAACTCTTGTTGTTCATTAGAGGATCTTATTAGTGCAATCTTTTCCCTAATTCATCGATAGAGAAGAAAGAGATAGTTTGAATGATGATGCACCAAAATGCAGTGTCGGTAGCCTGCATGGACTATCCATTAAATAATGGGAAATAAGAAATCTTAAAAACTACACATTGATATAATCATCCCAAACTTTATTATCAGTTGTCATGATTTGGTTGAGTTTTATCCCAGCTGAACCCTTTCTGGTCAATAAGATTTTTTATAGCCTTGTAGAGATTTCTCATTGTTTCGTGACGATTCTTCAAAGCATCTTTTCCATAATGAAATTTGAATTTCATATTGAATAAGTGATCATCAATCTAATTCTCCTTGCCAACCTACTCTAGTAGAGATTTCCCAAATCCACAAACAATTCTAAACAAATCCTTTAAACATTCAAAAGCTTCTATTAAAATCTCCAACACGGTTCAAAACTTCAATTGTCTTGCCACTCATCCCATGAGCATAGATACAAATTTAAAACGATAAAAAATAAATGAATAAATACTAATCCAATCCTTGTTTAGGTTTTGTCTACTTCAACATATATTCTTCTTTACTGTAGGACCACATTTAAATCCACCAAAATCAGTTTAGAATTAGATAAGCCAGAATTCCCCACAACTATCAACAAGAAAAAATAAAAATAAAAAAGTAACCAAGAAAATAATCTCACAAATCGTAACCATGTTTGTGGTGAAAAAATATTCTTCTTTTGTACTCAAATTAATATTTATTTCACTTGTACATCCAAATTGCAAGCTACTAAAAAGAAACCAACCTAGAGTTGTAAGCAGATCTCTTGTATTTACACCATGTGAATTCCTTGTACAAACTTTTCTTCTCCTCCTTTCATTAGTGAACATGAAGGTGTTAACTTTTCATTCAAAGGTGGGCCTCCAAGGCAAATGATTGACACCCATGGTTTCAAATTGTCAGCCAAAACTCTGTACTTTACAATCCTAAACCTCCTATTAGTTATCACCTGTGCCAAATTGAAAACCCCAGATTAGTAAAGTTTACAAGAGAAGTAAAATAAAAAGTAAACCCCCACAGTAAAAAATTAATAAATACAGTATGTGAGAGAGATAGAGACCCATTAAAAATAGAAGATTAAAAAATAAAACTCATCAAAGAAAAAGACCAAGGATGTAAACAGATCAAAACCCATATGAAGAAAAACGAAAATTAAAGAGAACATGTAGAACACGCAATTTGCATAGAGAACCATCTATACCTACACAAATTACTAATGTTGTTTTCCAATTAACTTTGCAAGGAAAACTTGAAAGTAGATTTGTTTTCAGTTCCAACTTTGATCTGCATTGGTGCTAGAGAGAAGAAAAAGAGAGACGACATAAAGCAATCATTTCAATCGGCTTACCCACAAAGTTGCATTTCAAGGTAACAATGGGCCATTTTATTTTTTGGTCGACAATTTCATGAAATGTAAGATGTGGTTATGATTAATAAAATATAAAATAAGAAATATTTGTGTATTTTGTGTTGGAGATTTTCTCAAAGAAACATTGTATCTTTACCTTGTTGTATTATTTCTATCAACAATAATGCGACCCCCACGCGTGTAAGCACGTGGGGGTCCAACTAGTTAGACACAATAATAATAATAATTTAAAAAAATGAAACAATCCTCCTCTCATGTCCTCTTATTCTCTTCTCTCACTCTCGCAAATGCTCACAATCTCTCTCTCGTAGACCGGCGTCTGAAGATATCCCCATTTTCTCACTCTCTAGCAATGGCGATAACTCCCCATCAGTGACAACATCGGTGTCTCTAAATCTCCCTTCGACATCCAGATATAGTTTTCCTCTCTTTTAGGTCATTTTTTCGAGCACAAAGTGAACACTGGACTGAGCATAGTTGAGATTATATATCTTTTATCGCTCTCATGCTCCCTCATAATCTCTCTTCTCTTATGTGCCTAGAATGAATACATAGGAATTTTTTTGCTATATATGCTAGTGTGTTGGGTTGATTCTCCTCTTTGTGTTTAGAATGAATACATAGGAATTTTTTTAGTTTGGGATTAGCATCGTCCAATGATATCGTTGTGTAAGGCTAGTAATCGTTTCTTTTCTTTTCTTTTTTTGATAAGTAAAGGAAACAAAAAATGCTAGTAATGTAATTTAATTTCCATTGCCCAGCATATACTAGGAACTGAATGAATTTCATAAGGGAGGGTTATGCTCTTGCACACATGTTTCCTTCTTGTATAGATAATAAACTAACGTGTAGATTTATATTTGCTCTGAATCTGTGATACTACTCTTTTGAGGAGACAACTTACTTTTGTTTCTCTATATTATCTTGGAGTATGTGTTGAATTTTAGTAGAAAAATAATATCATTGCCATTTATTTTTCTAGATTATCCTCTTGAGGTGTTGTTGGAAACTGTTTCTCAACTCTTCTAGTAGATATGTTTTTCTTCTCTTCCTAGAAAGCTTCTATTTTGTTGTTGATGGATCCAAAGTTTTCTTGATTCACCATCACAATAGCACCTAGCTAAGTCAACTAATATGTTAATATTATTCTATGTATTGTTTTTTTTTTTTAATTTATATTAAGAGTCTGAATTGTGTGTTAGTGATGTAAATCAAAATCATAATATCTTAGTAAGCTGTATTTGGTGTTGAAATTCAAAAAAGAAGAAAAAAGAAAAAAGAAAAGAGAAGGTATTTAAAAGTGTCAAAGCACTTAACAGAAATAAAATTCGGCTCAAATGAAACCTATACAGTTATCAATTTCAATGGATAATTTCTTGTTTTATTGTGTTGAATAGATTCAATTATTGCTTTAGAAAATTTGTGGATAAGATCAAAAAAATGTTTCCTTGATGATTTTGCACAAGTACATTCAAGTGCCTAATAATTTATTTTTTTATAATTATCTTTAGGGAGACCAGTTATCCTCCCTTATGGCCGTCAAAGGGTTGTTAACAGCCACTTGATGTTAGCAATAAATTTACCTTCAATGTAATATATGGGATTCTTTCAAGTAAATTACTTGTTTACTTATGGATGGAAACTTATTACATTTTCTTTAATGACAACATAAGAAAATAATTAACATTCTTGAAAGTTCTCGTTGCAGATTTAAGTAAGATCTTCAAATTTAAATTTGTTCACTTGGGAGGTAATGAAGTCAACACCACTGAGTTCAATATTTTTTGCAATGAGCCTCACTCCGCTAGCTCGCTGAGTGACTTTGCTTATTTGTTTTCCCTCTAATTATGCCTCTCATCCGCTTTGGAATTACCTCTCATCTCTTAAGGTGTATGTAACACTCCCGGTTTCTATTTCATCAGAGGTGGAAGAAAGAGAATTATGTGAAAGAAAAAGAAATTACATTGCATAGGGGAGGTGGAAACACGAAGAAAGGATATGTTATGGCTGAGAAACCCCCCAAGAAGAAAGGATACATTCAGCTGCACTGTAATACAACTCCCAGGGCATGTGAGAATTTCATCACACTTTGTAAGCGTGGCTATTACAATCACTACTAAAAAAAGTACTTTTTGCGACCGTTACAAGTCGTCGCAAATAATAAAAAAACAGTCACAAAAGACTTTTTGCGACGGCTCATGCGAGGGCAAATGAGGGTCGCGAATGTGGGGGTGGCAAATACTTTTTGCGACCGCAAAATAGCAATCGCAAACTATTTGCGACCGCCTAACCTACTTATAGTGTAATAACCCGACCCTCGTACATGTTTTCTGATATATTTTCGGACCCTATTTTGTGTGTTTTGAATGCTTATTGTGAAATCCTATGAGGAATTAAGGTTAAGTAAGTGAACCTCATGTTTAAGGATGCCTATCTATTTAACAAGAAAAGTTTCTGTTACATTAGAATGTTTGGATCAGAAATTGGAAGCCTTAGCGGCTTAATTATCTGAAATTGATTTTATATATGTGATCAGCATAATTTTTAGGTAATATTAAGCATTTCTGGGAAATTTCAATTTCGGATGTTTAAACGATTGATTTTTGTCCTTATTCAATATCTATATATGTATGTCTATAAGATCCTCAATGAGCTCAAGACTTAGGAACCTTCTCATAAAATATTCCCTGGAAGAAAAGTGAAGAGAGGCTAGGAACAAGGACGAATTGAGAGAGATTGAAGCCAAGGTAAGTTTAATTTCCCTAGTCCAATCCTTTTCCTCAATTTGAAATAGGAAGTTTTTGATTTGGTATGATCTCAAGTGTGATGAAAGTCTTGGATGTGTGTGTGTTGAAGTTTTGATATGATAATCTTATCATTTATGTGTCTCCTTCATTATCAAGTTGGTATTCATTCTTATGATCATGACTTTGTGTATCTATGTTATGTTATGTGCATGTGAAGTTAAGAACCTCAAGAAATGGAATTGTGTTTATGAATTTCAACCTTTGGTCAATCAAATTGAGTTGTGTTCATGGGTTTGATTCAAGTTAGATTGTTGTTTGTACTTTAAATTACATGCTTTTTGAACCATGATTTAGCAATGAAAAGATCCACCTTGGAGCCTTACAAACACTCTCAAAAGAAAGAGGTTTGTTGAAATTTTCGGGCCAAAACAAGGCAATCGCCGCATGTGCGGGAGTCACTGCCGCATGTGCGGCAAATGCTGAATTTTTGAGGGTTGGTTCTGCTTAAAAGGCACGTGCGGGGCAATTTTGCCGCACGTGCAGGGGAGTTTGCCGCACGTGCGAGGCTCACAGCCGCACGTGCGGCCCATGCTGAAAAACATGGATTGCGCCGTTTTGCGTGTAGGGCCCTCTAATGTTGTCGGAATATATATTTGATGCCTATTCGATGTTTATAAATTCCTTCGGAGTAAAGTGAATTGGAAAGTAACTTGATATGAAAGATGAACTAAAATGTAAGTTTTGAATGTGTGTAGGGCACACTCCGGGAGGAACAAGCACGTCATCACAACGCTGTGAGTAGTAATACGCTTCACATATAGCTGATGATTGTCATTAGCATTCTATTAACGCATGACTATTATACATGTAACTATGCGAATAAAGCCAAGCATGAAAAGAAATAAAGGAAAGAATGAAATATATTCACATGACTCTAAGTGTTTATAAGACCCGGGGCCTATGGCCATTCCGTATAAGTTGCTATGACATGAAACAAAGTGCTACACGGAACTAAGTGCTACGATGTGAGTCACCTCTAGAATCCGTGTGAGGCACCTCTTGAGTTCATACGAGTTTATCCAAGGGCGTAATGCCAATCTATTTAAGGGCTTCGTGCCACTATGTTTAAGGGCTTCGCGCCACTATGTTTAAGGGCTTTATGCCACTCTATTCAAGGGCTTATAGCCATTATGTTTCAAGATATTATGATTCAAGCTATTATGTTTCAAAACTGGGCCTAAGGTCGTTATGAAATAGTACAGAATCAGACTAACTATGTGTGCACTTTCATACGCATTGATCGGCCATTCTGTATAAGTTGTTATGATATGAAACAAAGTGCTACACAGAATTAAGTGCTACGAAGTGAGTCACCTCTAGAATCCGTGTGAGGCACCTCTTGAGTTCATACGAGTTTATCCAAGGGCGTAATGCCAATCTATTTAAGGGCTTCGTGCCACTATGTTTAAGGGCTTCGTGCCACTATGTTTAAGGGCTTTATGCCACTCTATTCAAGGGCTTATAGCCATTATGTTTCAAGATGTTATGATTCAAGCTATTATGTTTCAAAACTGGGCCTAAGGTCGTTATGAAACAGTACAGAATCAGACTAACTATGTGTGCACTTTCATATGCGTTGATCTATTATGTTTCAAGTTAAGCATTGTTTTATTTAGGTATTACTATTCACTGAGCCTGGCTTACTCTGTGTTATGTCTGTTTCTGTAGGTAACCAACCAGGTGGTCAGTCCTAGCCATGACACCCGTTTTCTTTTGTCAATCCTCGTGAGTCCAGGCACCTTACGAGGCCACTTATTTTGTGAAGTTTGTTAAGATGATTGGCCTACTTTTTGGTTTCCTATCTAAGGTTGAATGTATATAACTTCAATGGTTTTGTTTACGCCCGATTTTAGGGTTGGGACTGTATATGTGTATGTGTATAGCCAGCTAAGGGATATTGTTTTTGGACTTTACCTACTTATTTTGATGTATGTGATCCTGGCATGGTACTAGTAGCTCAATGGAGTTGTTTGTCTCATTGTTGTTTTTATAGTTAGTGCTTCCGATAAGGCCCCATATGTGATGTATACCAGGTTAAATGTCCGTTTCTGAATAGGTCATGCCCAAACTTTTAGGGGCAAGTTTAGGGCGTGACATATAGCGACTGATATTTTGCCATCGCAAAAGAGTTTAAAAAAGGCCTACAATGTATTAGCGACCATCTTCTTACCGTCGCAAAAAAAAAAAACAAAAAAAAATACCTACAATCATATATATATATGCAAATATTATATACAATAAATGTAAAGACATATTTGCAAAAATCTCAACATTCATGCATTATTTTCCATTATTTAAAAAGGCCTACAATGAGAACTTTCTCTTTTGGAGATTATGGGACAGCCCAAATCCAAGCATTCAAAACAAACAATAAGTCTCTCGAAAGGGAAAAATATAAACATGTAGAGGATATTGCATTAGACATTGATTTCAACTGTTCCAGTGACGTCTTCCAACTAGAAATGGCCATCCTCTAACTAAGATATAACACCCATGACCTATCTTCCCCCTGTTAGCCCAATGAGACTCTGAATTAGAGATATCTGCCCAACATATGCACATAAATAAGCATACTTTGTTTAATTAACATGTGTCTCCAATCTTGATATGTTTATGTGCAAAACAGAGAGACGGGTTACCTCACAGCTGCCGAACTGAGACCTTTCAGTATCAAATGCAGGCTTAGAAAAATGCTGATCACGAGAAAGCCTGTGGAGCAACAAGAGAAATCTATCCCTATATAAAGTGGCTTTGGCAGAAGCATCACCATGAATGGAAATCTTTCCTGTATGCTATAATTCAAAAAAGAAAAATGGCATAACTAACACCACCTAATCAAATGTTCAAATTAACATGAACATAATCCACATCAATGAGAATCTAATCTAATCATAATAATTTAATAAATGAACATAATCCACAGCACAGACAAGGAATTTCAGTATAAAGGCTCAACGGTAAATAAATAAAAATAACATGCCAAGAAGGCAATGGGTTGGAGTTGTGACAAGATTTTATCAGTGTTAAAAAGATTCATTTAGCCACCCGTCAAAAGATATAATCTGTCCAGTTGAAAGTCATTCAGCTAATGCAGAGATGTAATTGCATAAATTTGCACCCCCTTAAGTGTAAGAAAACAAGAAAAACTCTGGGGCTTGCTTCATCTATTCCTTCAATTGCAAATGCAACTAGTTGAGATATTGCCACTTTAAGCCGATAAAACAAAAATCCAACCATAGCCTTTGGCTTTGTTTCCTGGATCTTTTGCAAATTATATATTAGGCATTCTTTTTTCTAGTTATCTGTTGTGATGACAAAGTAGATACACAGATTACCCTAGCACCCATAAGTTGCCATAGTCATGCAAGAACTCCAATTAAACCTACTTAAGTTTTTATCTCCAGTGTCCTACCCTTCAATACCAAAGATTACTTAACTACTAATACGAACCCCTTGGGCAAAACTCACCATTGAAAACCAGCTTGTAAGGGGAGAGTGCCCAAGAGTTTTATATGCACATGGCCATGGCCTATGTTAATCGATGTGGGATCGTAACATATCACGCCACTCAATACCTGAATCCTTTGCCATAGAGATCACTGTAGACTGAGATGCTGATAAAAAAATCATTGCAGAATCAGACTCAGGTTGGTGGACGGGTGGGGTATGGGCCAGAGACAAAAGCAATTGCATCTCGACTCTGTAAAGCACTACAAGGAGAAGTGAAATGCACAGAGAAAGATGGGTACAGGTTCTTAGAAAGACCTGTGACTTAATGATCGATCTGGGCCAAGATAGAGCAGAATGGGAAAAGAGGAAACTTCCAGCCCAATCCCAAAATTTGAATGTTAAATTCCTTCTTTAGAACATACGGTGCCTTAATTTAATTTAAGATGAGAAAAAAGCTCTTACAGAAGTGTGATGCTAAGAAATTAGCATAACCAAACAGAAAATGACCACATATCAGAAACAGGGTGATAAAAGAGAGATTGCTTACTTGACGTGAATAACGTTCTGCATCTCTCTTCATGGAAGACATTTCGACTCTCATTTTTTGCACTTCAGCCTGCAAATAAGTATATAACATAAAAAAGTCCTTAAATAATCTTGAAACATCAGTTTGCAACGTTTCAAATTTATTTATTGTATAATAATAAAAATTAGACGTCGGAATCAATTCCCAATTGACATCTCCAAATAAACAGCATTTAGTCTTCAATCGTGTAACTTGATTAAAGATAACAAGTAACACATGTACAGGAACATCACAAGAAACTTGCCTCTAAAGAGGAAAGCTTGCTCTCAGCATCTCTCTAACCTTGCCGAGCTCGCTCCGTTTCTTCATGCCGTGCCTGCATCTTCATATTCAGAAGATAAAGTGGTTAGATGGATATGTACTACTATAGCACTCTTCTATTGGTGAAAGACTAAATTATAGTTGTATTATTTTTATGAAACACAAAGGATATAAAAACTATGAGAATTACACTTGAAAGAAAAAAATAAAGAGTGCAAGGTATCAAACCGTTTCAATATGAAAGACCCACATCGTAATCCTAGATTTGAAGTCTCAACACTAAATTAAATCTTGCTTTAAAGTAGAAGCTTTAAAAAAATGAATGATGGATATATAAATTGATTGCAAAAAATTTTTTCCTGAGAAATTCTTCAACCTAAAAAGAACATTGTAATAGAAATGCAGAAAAAGGTGAGGCTTGAACTTAACAGGAGAGCATAACAATTTTTCGGTGAACAGATTCTCAGAACTAAAGATTTCATAAATGTTTGGTTATTGGTCTGATAGTTTGAACTCAAATTTAATTATATAATAAAAATATCATATATTAATCAAAAGATATGCATATGCTAGGAATTGCACTCCTATATCTAAAAGCAAGGGGGGAATAATTTTGGAACATAATTTGCCAATATATAAATATATATTTTATATAAAGCACAAACTTCAAAACCACAGAACCAAGTAAATTATGTGAAACTCATTACGTATTTTGTTTACAAATTCATAAAAATGGATGCTGGTTTAAATTTGTGTACCTGAATCATTTGATTCGCATCTTCAGGAGACTTCTTTTGTCCACGACGAGCACGGGCTTCCATATCTTGTAGCTCTTGATTCAAGGATGCACATTCAACCTGATGGCAAATGATGAAGATTATGTGGACTTACATAGCAAGAATGGGAAATAAACCTTCATTTTGAAGAACTAAAGATACCTTCAACAATGCCACCTTCTGCTCAAGTTCTGCCACCTTAGCTGTTCTTTCATCTGCTGTTCTCTAAGGGAAGCAATGAACAAAATTAAATCAAGACTGTAGAAATATAAGTCAAATTGTCAAATGAATCATCACAAAGTCACTAGAAAGAAGAACACGCATTAGCTACAATGAAGCACGAACACGAACACGAACACGAGCACACATAATCCAGAGAAAGCAGAGCATTGGTGAAGATTCGTCTAGAAAAATGAGTTGTTTCCTATAGCATAATCCACATTTCCAACTAAGTCAAAAAAAAAATTAATAAATAAATAAAATAAAATAAAAAGAAAAAGAAAAAGAAAAAAGAAAACAATTATTGCAGGTTCCTTGATTACCAAAATCATCTCATATTAGAGGAATGAATCAAATAACTTGGTCGAGATGGTTTCACAGGCATGATACATGCTTCTAGGTCACATCACATTCACCAATTGAAGATAATATGGTATACATAATTTTGGTGTTATTAAAGATCTAGCTTCTAGGTCACATCACATTCACCAATTGAGGGAGATAGACTCCTACTGCAATTACTTGCATATTACTGACTTTCACAGTAACAATATCCTGAAAAGTGACCCACAGAACCATGACACGGAGAATATGTAACCAATCTAAGTAACACCAGCAATCAATCCCTTGCTTGAATACGGATGTTCCAACAAATATGCACATATTAACACAAAAACATGTTCAAGGAGGTGAAAAAAAAATTACTTCAAGCATCTCGAGAAACAAGATCCAGTGCTATGTTCATAGTGATAACGACCACACTTCTCTCTCTCTCTCTCTCTCTCTCTCACTCTCTCTCTTTCTCTCTCTCTCTTGTAATCTTATCTTTATCTTATCATCCTCATCATCTATCCATCCCTTATTACCTTTTACTTACTGTCTGCCTCTACCTATGTACTTATCTGTGTATGCAGTAAAAACTTACTGTAGGATGTGTTGATGTGAAATTCTAAATTTCTAATACTAATTACTACTCTGCTCAGTTCTAGAAATGGCACCTGATACTCCAATGTAGTCTTTGTTGTGCACTCATGTAAATTCTGCAATAATGCTATGATCATACATATATATTTTTATGACAGGACTCACTGTCGTTGAGTATAAGGCTTTTTGAACAAAATTTGAATTAGTGTGATAAACTCACATATGTATTAGTTAAGCTTAGGTATTTTGTTTCTTGTGAGAATTGAACATGAATCCTCCAAAACAAAAATAAAAACAATAGTGAGTTTTCATATTCAATTTTTTAAAAAAGGCTACCTGCATGGATTATTGTGATCGTGCATGTGCTCAATCTCATGAACAACATTAGCATTGAATTCATAAGATGTTTCTTTTTTAGAAATGAAATATGTGGAAGTGCATATTATGTGGCACCAGAAGTCCTCCACAGATCTTATAGACTATAGGAGCACACTGTAAAATATATTAAGAACAGAGCATGTTAATGCTACAAGTGAGACAGATAGATATGTAAGGAGAAAAATGTTCAAACAAGGTTGCAACAATTTTGCTTGGACTAACGAACTTTGCTTGAAAAATACTGTAAAATATAGTTGAGAAAAGGGAGATATTCTTTGATGCAAGTGCTGCACGCTAACCTGTTGATGAATTCCCTTCTTTAGCTGAATAATTTCTTGATTAATAGCGTCACCCTCTCTGAGATATA